GTGTCCCTGTCCTTCAGCCTCCCCTGTGCACCTCCAGACCCAGGCTCCTTCCTCGTGTCCTTAGGGCTTCTGAGACCTGTCCCATTGTCCTCTGAGCTGGGCTGGGCACTGCTCTTTGCTGAGATAAGCAGGAGGGACAGGGCTATTTTCTGCCACAGGCAGGAAGTAAGACTGGGAGAGTAAAAGTGGGCAGGAGGCTAGATCATGATCATTCCCTCTCTCTGCTACACAGAACCCGCCAGCAGTACCCACCCTCTGGCATCTGACCAACAGCACAGACAAGAGCTGAAGACAAATACGTGACTTGGGACAATGATGGAGGCAGGGACGGGAAAGAAATACTTCCTCTTGGTCCAGCTTTCTTTTCTGCTACCCTCTCCAGGCACTTCTCTCCTTTTCCCTCCCACACATTCATCAAATGCCTTGCTCTCTCTTCACCTCCTCTTTTTAGTAATTATTTCACATCTTTCAGAAGTTTGAAAAGAAGGAATCTCAGATATCCTCATCCTCCTTGCCCTAGGAGATCTGCTCTAGAATAACCCCAACCGCATTTTAGATTCTGAAGTCCCGGCCTGTCAGTGTGTCCCACCCGCTACACCAAGCATGTCAAACTCAAAGGCTAACACGGGCCAAATAAACAAGGTTTAAGTTTATGTGGGCCACGAAAAAACAAAAGCTTCAATTTTCATAGAAACTTAGGTTTATTTCGATAGAGACATGCTGAATACAAAGGGCTGAGATAAATGAGTAATCGTTAACATAAAATAATAGAACATTTTAATAAAAATTAATACTTTTTCTTGAACATTAACTTATCAGACACTGAATAATTGCGTAATGCAAATAAACCTATTCTTCTTGTTCTCCGAAAGCAAAATATTTCCTATTGCGCACACCAAACAAATCAGTCCAAGGCTAATGACGTGGCCATCGGCTGCTAAAATATTCCCTGCTAGTATTAGTGGGGAGAAATGGTGCGCCTGCGTGTAAAGACGCGAAAGGAAAATGAATGCAACATGATTATAGTACTGTCATTAGCGAACGTTGTAGTTTGTTATTAATAACTATGCATAATAGGATATAGTAAAAATGAAATTACAAAATTTTTATTAAAACGTTTCTTACATACTGTTATATTGGCTGGGCCACAAAAATATTCGTTGTGGGCTGCATGCGGCCAGTAGGCTGCGAGTTTGACATGCTTGCGCTACACAGAGTGTGCGCTAACCTGCCTTTGTCAGCTCAGCCCGCTTCCTCTGGTGCTGGGCTCAGGCGGCATTGGGAGGATGCACCCTGGCATGCAGCCGGCTTCATTATAAAGGCCTCTCCGTATAGGTATATTCAGACTCCCCACATGGATCCAAACTGCCGAGCCTCTGGGAGAAGCTTAACCCAGTCCAAAGGCTTCCTGAAAAGATCCGTCCCAGAGCTGCTTAGGGACACGGATGAATCCTGCTCATCAGCTTGTCCTGGGTCTGAGGGCTCTGTGGTGTGGAGTAGTTCAAGGTTGCCAGGGCGAGTAGATGGCCTCATCCTAACTCTGGGACCACGTCCCCCCCAAGGACAGGCACCTCTCTGGCACAGACCCCAAGGGATTGTCCTGTCCCATCTCCATCCCCTCTCCTCCTCAGTCCAGGCCTGCTCTGCTTGCTCCAGCCAAAAGGCCTGCCCCCACACGGAGCCTGTCTCCTGCTGCCTTCCCAACATTATCCCCAGTCATGTCTTCTCCTGTCCCAGGTATTCTGACCTCATCTCGCCCATTTCTTTCTGGGAAAAGGCAGAAAGTAAAGGCGGACGACAGCTCAATAATGAGTTTCCGCAATGTGGGGGTGTCACCTCCCCACCTGCACATCTCCCTCCCCGCTGCTTTCAAGAGCTGGAAAAACAGGAAGTAAAGTCGCAATCAAGAGAAATCACTCAGAGGAGCTGTCTCGGCCCTGTGCTCTGAGTGTCTGCATGCAGCTAACCTTGCTTGGCTCAGAGAGTCTCCTGCAGCCTTCCAGCCTTGTTGACCTCACCCTGAACTCCAGGCAGCACCATTGGCTTCTGCCCTCACCTTTCTACTGTCTCCTTCCCCTGGGCCTGTGTTGGGGTGTACACTGGGGGCAGCAGGGTGGAGAGAGCTGACAGCATCAGACACAGGCAGGCAGAGCTGGGCTCTAGTGCTCTGAGTGGCCAGGAGGTGAGGCTTACAGGGATAAGATTCTGTTTCCCCCTCAATCCTTGCCTCCATCTCCCCTTAGGGCTACAATTTCAGCTCACCCTAAAAGGAGCTGGAGATGCAATCAGGTGGGAGGTCCCCTTCTCTCAGGGAGGCCCCCATAAACACAGGTAATAGGGAGGCAGCTGCCCTCATTGATGTGAGACAAAGGTATCATAAGGCCTTGCCCACCCTCAAATATTTCCCCCACCCGTGCTCAATATCTGAAATTTCATCTCCTTCATGTCGCCCGTGAGCCACATTCTAGCATCGCTACAGGGACATGAGAAATAATTTTGTCTAACCATTTTATATAGATCAGTGGTTCTCAACCTTCCTAATGCTGCGACCCTTTAATACAGTTCCTCATGTTGTGGTGACCCCCAACCATAAAATTATTTTCATTGCTACTTCATAACTATAATTTTGCTACTGTTATGAATCATAATGTAAATATCTGATATGCAGGATGTATTTTCATTGTTACAAATTGAACATAATTAAAGCATAGTGATTAATTACAAAAACAATATGTAATTATATATGTGTTTTCTGATGGTCTTAGGTGACCCCTGTGAAAGGGTCATTCTACCCCCAAAGGGGTCACAACTCACAGGTTGAGAACCACTGATATAGATGAACGCATTGTGTTAAGGCCGTGTTTTTCAAAAACCCCATTATAATACCCCTTGGAGGCCTTTGCTGGGTAGGTCAGCTGGCTAGAGCATTGTCCTGATACACCAAGCTTACAGGTTCAGTCTCCAGTCAGGATACATACAAGAATGCACCAATAAATGTGTAAGTAAGTGGAACAACAAATCAATGTTTTTTTTCCTCTCTCTCCCCCTTCCTCTCTCTAAAATCAATATAGATAGATAGATATATAGATAGATAGATAGATAGATAGATAGATAGATAGATAGATAGATAGATAGATGATAGATAGAAATACTCCTTGGTTAATGGCCCTTGGTTAGCTAGGAAGAATAACCATAAGAACACCTTTGTGCCTTGAACCCATTCATGGAGTTTAATCAGATAAGTTTATTGTCACCTAGGAGAGGGCCTGGCCCTGGGAGGTGAGTGGGTATTAGGGGTTAAGTGCTAGCTGAGGATGGGAAAAGGTTGGAAATCAACCCCAGAGGACCCTCCTCATTGGTCTTGGGAAGCCTGGGCTCAGCATGACAGTGGGCCTAACGGGTGAAGGGGAGAACACAGCCTTCCAAGATGCCCCCGTGTGGGGCTTCGAGCCTCAGAGGGGCACCCCAGGGTGTGTTCTGTGTGAGAAGGTCTCTCTGCCTGAGGCAGCCCCTTTAGCTTTTTACTCTATTCAAAAGGTTTTCTGGGGCCCGTGGCCCACCCTCACCTCTGCCCCTACCCGCATCCCCCATTTCTAAAAGTGGGGTGCCGCCCATAATGCCCCCATGAGGTTCAAGCCCACCTGTGACACCCCCGTACCTGCGCTCCGTCGAGCTCTGCCGCTGCCCCAAGCTGGCTTCCGCTGACTGCTCTGCACTGGGCTGGGCTGGAAGGACCTGCTCCTGGGGCGGGTGGGGACACACCCACCTGGGCAGATCTCAACAGATTCCAGCTCTGTGCACTCACCCAACCCCGCACTCGCACTCCACTCTCGGGGAGAGGGAGGAGGAAGCAGTGCCTTCAGCGGTCTTCACAGACTGGCCAGAGAAGAAACCCCAGCAGATAATGGCACTTAGTCTAGCCCCAACTCTGGGCCAACTAATGACTCCCCCCGCCCATCGCTCACAGACTCCCCACAGTTTCCGGGAAGCCTAACGGGCACACCCACCTCTGACTCAATGACTAATCACCAGCCTCTCGATTTTCTCTCCAGTTCCCTCTGGGTGTCTCTCTTTTGGATCCCCGCAGGTGGTTTTGCTCTTGCCACCTGTGGCTTTATCTCTCTCCCCTTGCCTCGGGCCCCTCTGCGTGCCAGGGCTGCTGCTGGGCCCACTCTCACTGCAGAGTGTGCACAGCCTCTCCACCACAGCAGATACCAGGCTGGGCTGTTCCTCCTGGCTTCTGTCTCTTTCCTAGGCTGGGGGTTGGGGGTCCGGAGGGCTGGGGAGAGCTTAGACAGCCCCTCTTTTCTGTACCCTGGCCAAGGCCCTTGTCTTCTGTATCAGCAGGGTTGGACATGTTGTCCATACTCAATACACAAAAATAAGTTCAAGTTTTTGAGTGGTGAGTGAAAAAGGATATTGTGGTCAAGTGAGGTTGGAAAATGCTGGCTTAAACAGGTTTCTCTATTACAGGGCTTCTCAGAGCCTTGAACATGCCACTGAAAGATTGGCCATCCTATCTAATAAAGAGGGAATATGCTAATTGACCCTCACGCCATTGCAAAGATAGCAGCATCCACAGCCAATAAGGAGGGAATATGCTAATTGACTGCCCCACCCTCAAAGATGGCAGTGCCCACAGCCAATAAGGAGGGAATATGCTAATTGGCTGCCACGCCCTCAAAGATGGTGGTGCCCACAGCCACAAGATGGCTGGCAGGGGAGGGCAGCTGTGGGCAAGCAGGCCAACAAGAGAGGGCAGTTAGAGGCAACCAGGCCAGCAGGGGAGGGCAGTTGGGGGGCAATCGGGCTGCAGGGGAGCAGTTAGGCGTTGATCAGGCTGGCAGGGAAGTGGTTAGGGACAATCAGGCAGGCAGGCAGGCGAGCAGTTGGGAGCCAGCGGTCCTGGATTGAGAAAGGGATGTCCAACTGCCAGTTTAGGCCCGATCCTGGGATCGGGCCTAAACCAGCAGTCAGACATCTCCCGAGGGGTCCCAGATTGGAGAAGGTGCAGGCTGGGCTGAGGGACATCCCCCCCCTGCAAGAATTTCATGCACCAGGCCTCTAGTGTGTTAATTGAAGCTGGATGAAGCATAGAGGTGCATTATATTATTCCATTTGTGTGTATTTGTGTGAGAGAGAAACATCGATATGAGAGACATATCTATGGGTTGCCTCCCACACGTGCCTGACTGGGGCTGGAGATTGAGTCTGCAACCTAGCTACATGCCCTGACTGGGAATCAAGCCCAAGGCCCTTCAGTACTCTGGCCAATGCTTCAACCACTGAACAACACTGGCCAGGGGCATAGTTTTTTGTTTGTTTGTTTGTTTTTAATGCTTTAATCACTGTAAACCTATAGAAGAGACTGTACAGTTTCCCAAACATGTGTGTCCCCAGAACATACTCTGGGATATCCCAAGTTATTAAAGGCCAATGCTGAAGTCACATCTCAAAGTATGTTGTCTAGACACAACCACTTCAACACTGAGACCATTTGGCACATTACTAGATGTCAAATCAAAGGTTTCCTGAGCTCCAGGCCCCAGATGTTTCCACCCTTAAAAATATATTTTATATTTCAGAGAGGAAGGGAGAGGGGGCACTAGGAACATCATTCAGAGATGAAGACACATGCCCTCCTGGCCCACAGGATCCCTGAGCCCCAGCCATGGTCTTCTTTAATCCAACTCCCTGATTTTCAGGGCCTCTTCTCCCAGCAGATGGCTGCTTCGCTGAGCATCATTCCCATGAGATTCTCTCTCCTATAGATGGGTCCATAAGCCCCTGGGCAAGGGGGGGGGGGGCGAGTTGATCCCCATGGGGCACTGTGGCAGTGCTGAGGATGGGATCATAACCAAAATGGGCCACATAGGTTGAAAATAAACACTTTATGCAAAGACATCCTTTAAGGCAGGTGGAGTTCCATCACTTTCAGGGACTCCTGCCCCGACCCAAGGAAAACGTGGGTAGGGACCAGGCAAGAGACACAAAAGGGGCAGCCTGGATGCAAACTGATGGCCAATGGAGTAAGAAAGCAATGGAGAATGTGGGTTGAGGTGGAGACAGGAAGAATCCCAGCTCATCCGGCTTGGCCTAGAGTCAAGGTGCTAAACTCCTGGCTCCATCGAAGCACAAGGTCCTCGCTTCTGGCGGGGGTCAAGATATTGTAACTCTCGTTCTTCAGACATCTCATACGGGATATCTACACGGGGATCGAGTACACACACAATGTGAGTTATAGAGCAAGGAGCCAGCAGTGTGGAGGTGGGGAGGTGTCAGAAGTCCCATGAGAACCAGAGGCAGGTGGGCATGGGCACAGGGCAGTAGAGGGAAGGAAGCAACTCAGCTGTGGGTTTTTCCCGCTGCAAGAGATACCAAGTGGCCCCTCCCCCTTTCAGAAATCAGGAGGCTGAGGCTGGGGTAGGAAGTGACTTATCCCAGACTTCTTGGTGAGTAAGAACAGAAGGCAAGACTGCAACCTCAACATCTAGTTCCCAACCCAGCGGAGGTTCTTCCTGTGGTGCCCTCAGGGCCTTCACCCCTCTGCAGCATTCCTGCAGACACCTCTGGCTGGGGCACCTTGCTTACTCCAAGGCTGGGGGCCTGGAGGAGAGCAAGTGCTCTGGTGGTGGCCTCTGCCCTGAGAGGCAAGTAGGAAACTGCTCTCCACATCCCAGCTGTGTGGAGCAGGGGAAAGGAGGTGGCCCAGAAAAGACACCCCACCAAGGTGACCGATTTAGAGGGGCTGATGGGAGGAGGCGGGCCGTGGTGACGAGCTCACCTTCTGATCCCGGTTTCTCATCAGACACTGTTGGCTTTTGAAGGCACAGTAGTTTGGGTACTGCACATAGTCTGTGTCACAAATCTAAGCCAGGAGCCAGGGATGGGGAGGCGGGGAGATATCAGAAGCCTTATGAGACACCAGCCCTCCAGAGAGTGCCCGCGGTGAAGGAACCAAGGGCAGGGGTGTGACCTTTCAGAACCAAACCTTCCACACTGTGGGTGTCCCTCTCTGAGGAAGAGGCCTTTGTCCCCTCTGCCTTTCCCATCCCACCCTCACTCATAGTTCAGTTAGTGGGAAGAAGCCAGGAGCCGGAGAGTGGGAAATGGCTTCCCCGCTGTTCAGTTGCTGATAAAACAGCTGAGGAATGGGGAATGAGGAAGGGGCCCTAAGGGTGCAGAACATTGGAAGGGGGCCAATGACTGAACCAGCCTCAGGGAGCCTTCTAGTGATGGGCAAGTGAGGGAGAGGGTAGAACAATCTCATGTGGGACCGCGGCTGAATCACTTTCCTCTGTGGACCTCGCCTCCCCATCTATAAACCCAGGGGTGCAGCAGAGATGATCTCTGAGGCCTCTTCCAGATCTAGCGGCCCAGGGAGAAGGTCTGGGCAGGGCCCCTCAGCTCAGTGACCAGCCCTTTCTTAAGCTGCCCCTACTTTTCATTGTCTTGATTTCCCCTGTGAAACCACAGAAAGGGGGTGCCTGGCTCTCAGGTACAACAGGTAGTTCCACAGAGCAGGTAACTCTGGGGAGAGGGGGAACAATAATGCCATTGGGCAGGAAAAGCACTGCAAGAGTTAGGGAAGGAGGCTGTCAGGGAAGGACTGGATCAGGGGAGGGGTGGCCCTTCACCCACCACCTAGTCATTGGTTGTAGGGATGAGTATAACTTTGGCCTAGAGTGGGAAGTAACCTGACCAAAGCCCCTTGGCAGGTAACTGGCAGAGCTGGGACCAGAAGCTCTGTCTCCTGCCTCAGGGTCCTGTGCTTGCTCTTCCACCCCTCCCAAATCCTACCTTCTTTGCCAAACACAATCCTGCTCTATTGTGTGTGTGTGTGTGTGTGTGTGTGTGTGTGTGTGTGTGTGTGGTCTACTAAAAAGAGGCAGCTGGTTTAATGAGGACTGGTTCTCAGAAGCCAGGGGCCCAAGTCCCCTTCCACATCCTAGGGCTGCCTGGAGCAAATAACCAGCAGGAATTGGGGTGAGTGAGGTGGGGTTCAGCTTTGGGGAAAGGCTCTGACCTTGGTGGGGAAATCCCCATCCTGGAAGCTAAGGAACTCAGCCTGGAGCCAGCCAGCTACTCGAGTATCTTCACAGCCCTTCGTGGCTAGCAGGGCACACCAGAAATCCATGCGAAGCCCGCCATAAATATCCAGCCCATAATAGCGGCTCGATTTTACATTCCCCATCTGTAGCAGAGGGGACAGGGGAGAGGTGTGAACCCCTGCGCCCCCTGCAGGTCTCCCTTCCCGATAGAGGTCCAGAGCCTGAGGCCTCCCCCACTGAGGCTGTCCAGCTGGCTAGGTACCTGGATGCCGATGGCCATGCTCTGGGATGAGAGAAAGGGGCTCATGAAGGGTGTTTTGTGGGAACCGTCACACTGCTGCCGCTGCAGGTTGGCCTCCGAGTGGCACTGCTCCAGCTTCAGGGAGCAGAAGGCACAGAGGGGACAGATAGCTAGGTGGTGCCGCCCAAGGCTGTCACAGACCTAAGGCAGGAATGTAGTAAAGAGGCTGAGGCTGTGACCAGAGCAGTTCCCACAATGTTTTTGCATCCAGGCTCTTCCAAAAGCTTTTCTCCCTGCCCCCCTCCCCAAGGGTTCCTCAAGGACCTCGCCTCAGCACTCTATTTCTTCACTGGATGATTTCTCTACTCCCAGGTAATCTTCATCTCTCTGCAAGTGACACCCAGCTCTTCATCATCCGTTCTGATCTCTTTCCCAAGGTCCACATCCTCACTTGCCAGGTGCCTGACAGCTGCCCACCCTCGGGTGACCTACAACCGCCTCTCACCTAGACTATCTGAATAGATCTCCTAACTTTCCCCTTTTCTCTCTCTTTCCTAATGATAGTGCTAGTAGTTGACACAGGGCTAAGCACCGTGGATATAAGTGCTATCATCTCATTTAGTCCTCACAGGAGCCCTGCACATTAGCCCTCATCATATCTCCATTTGACTGATAAGGAAACAAGCTCAGTGAGGCTAACTTGCTCAAAAGCATATGCCTTATAAATGGTGGAGTTGAGACATGGATCTATCTAGTCCTTCTAACTTCAAAACCTATACTCTACTTAGGTTTAAACCTCCAAGTTCCTGGAAGACATTCTTTAGAGTGGAGCTCCCCATCTCCCAGCTAGGTTCTTTGCCCTGAGTCCCTCGGTCTCCTCAGGGAATCTGCAGTCAATCCCAGCCGCCTCCTTCTCCACCCATGGGTCCAGCACACCACAGGTGCAAAAAATCTCCTTGTTCACTCCGCACAACAGCTCATAAGGGAGGCATAGTCATGTCTCTCACCAAAAATGGTTAGTTACTAAGTTCCTTTTTCCTACCCAATTAAATACAAATGCTCCAGACTGCCACCTTGGATTTTTCACACTGTGACCCTTCCTATTTCTCTGACTCTATCCCTTACTGCTTTGCTCCAGGCAAAATGGGCTCCTTACTGTTCCCTTACCCAAGCCCTAAAATCCAGTGGGCTCTCCATGACTCCTGAACTTCCTACACTTAAAAACCGCTCTCCAACACCTACCATACTCCTTTTGTAATGCTGCCGAGTCCCCCGTGGGCTCCAGGTACTTTAAGGGCAGGAGCAATATGTTCATTCTTGGTCTGTCCCTCATGAAATCTCTTTTTCTTGCCTCACAGATTTTGCACATGCTATTCCCTCTAGCAGGAAGCTTCTACCACGTCCTTTCTTTGGCTGGTTAACTTCCTTTCTCTTCAGGTTTCAATGTAAACGTCAGTTCCTCTAAGAAGCATTTTCTGATCTTCCCAAACACAGACAGCTGTCCCCTTCCGCTCTCTCTACACTTTGTATTTATCCATCACAGCGTTTCTCCTGTCACACTGTTCTGCCTGTTTCCTCATCTGCCTCTCCCACTAGGACTTCAAGAGCCCCCACGATAATTAGATCTATTGTGCTCATCGTTAATATCTCAAATACCTGTTCAGAGTTGGTGACCAATCAATATTTGTTGAACTAATGGATGAATAAATGGCATACCAACTCCTAACAGATGTTTGCTAACTTGTGTTATTTAAAAACCTAAAGGAGCCCTAACCAGTTTGGCTCAGTGGATAGAGTATCAGCCTTCGGACTCAAGGGTCCCAGGTTCGATTCCGGTCAGGGGCATGTGCCTTAGTTGCGGGCACATACCAATGGGGAGTGTGCAGGAGGCAGCTGATCGATGTTTCTCTCTCATCGATGTTTCTAACTCTCTGTCCCTCTCTCTTCCTCTCTGTAAGAAATCAATAAAATATATTTAAAAAAAATAAAAACCTAAATGATATTTTCCTGGGAATAGGACTTGCTGGGTGGTGAGGACACATCGAGACAAATTTCTCTACAGATCCCTGGAATGGGTTCTATGCCCGCCTTGGAAAGGAGAGCTGCATCTAAGGTAAAGCCAAGGTTTGAAGATGGTGAACTAGATCAGGAGATGACTCAAGCCTAACAACTCAGAGAGCTGAAGAATGAATTCTGGCTCTAGCAGGTTTGGCTCAGTGGACAGAGCGTTGGCCTGTAGACTGAAGGGTCCCTGGTTCCATTCTGGTCAAGGGCACATTCCTGGGTTGTGGGCTCGGTCCCCAGTAGGGGGCCTGCAGGAGGCAGCTGATCAATGATTCTCTCATCATTGATGTTTCAATCTCTCTCTCCCTCTCCCTTCTTCTCTGAAATCAATAAAAATATATTTTAAAAAAAGAATGAATTCTGAATTGGAATGCATTCCAGACTAGTCTTGAGCCTTCCTCCTTTAAGGTGAGCTGGAGATGTCCTTCCAAAGAAGGGATTCCCACTTGAAGAGGACCTCTCCAGTGATGCCTCATGCTGTCTGTATCCCTGCCCATCCCCCCACTCCCAAGGCCTAATAGTGCCAGGCCCAGAGGATGCCCAGTGAGCAAGTATCCATTAAACAGCATGCTGGGCCTACCGACTTCCCGAAACCAAGGATCTCATCCTCCAAGTGCCGCCAGGCCTTGGCTGTGGGGGTCATGATGCAGGTGTTCTCCACAATGGAATAGCACATCACGAGTAAGGCCTCCTCATGGGGCAGCTGCAAGAGGCTGCAAGGAGACAGACCTGGTTGGTGGGGAAGAAAGCTACATCCATTCTCTTTCCTTTTCCTCAGACTCTGTTCTTGGTCACACACATTCAGCATGCTGGATGGGGCCTTAGAGGCCTCTGGACCAACTGCCTCCTTTTGAAAATGAGGAACTGAGGTCCAGAAAGGGGAAGTAACTTCCTCAAAATTGCAGTGTTTATCAAGGCCATAAACAAGACCGGAACTCAAGCCTGGTAGCTCCAGGTTTAAGGAAACAGGCATCTAAGGCAGGACTTAAACCAATGATGGCCACTGAACAGGTGAGGCCGGCAGTTACTAGGTGCGCCTGAAGCCCAAGCAGGTCTGATTGGGTCTGGTGGTCAAAGTTGGAAAGTGGGCTTCTCATTCCCAAAGAAGGCAGCAGGAAAGGCAGCAGGAAAGGTAGGAGGAAAGGCAGCAGGAAAGGCAGCAGGAAAGGTAGGAGGAAAGGCAGCAGGAAAGGTAGGAGGAAAGGCAGCAGGAAAGGCAGCAGGAAAGGTAGGAGGAAAGGCAGCAGGAAAGGTAGGAGGAAATGCAGCAGGAAAGGTAGGAGGAAAGGCATCAGGAAAGGTAGGAGGAAAGGCAGCAGGAAAGGCAGCAGGAAAGGTAGGAGGAAATGCAGCAGGAAAGGCAGCAGGAAAGGCAGGAGGAAAGGCAGCAGGAAAGGCAGCAGGAAAGGTAGGAGGAAAGGCAGCAGGAAAGGTAGGAGGAAAGGCAGCAGGAAAGGTAGGAGGAAAGGCAGTAGGAAAGGTAGGAGGAAAGGCAGCAGGAAAGGTAGGAGGAAAGGCAGCAGGAAAGGCAGCAGGAAAGGTAGGAGGAAAGGCAGGAGGAAAGGCAGCAGGAAAGGCAGCAGGAAAGGTAGGAGGAAAGGTAGGAGGAAAGGCAGCAGGAAAGGCAGGAGGAAAGGCAGCAGGAAAGGCAGCAGGAAAGGCAGGAGGAAAGGCAGCAGGAAAGGTAGGAGGAAAGGCAGCAGGAAAGGCAGGAGGAAAGGCAGCAGGAAAGGTAGGAGGAAAGGCAGCAGGAAAGGTAGGAGGAAAGGCAGCAGGAAAGGCAGGAGGAAATGCAGCAGGAAAGGCAGCAGGAAAGGCAGGAGGAAAGGCAGCAGGAAAGGCAGCAGGAAAGGCAGGAGGAAAGGCAGCAGGAAAGGCAGGAGGAAATGCAGCAGGAAAGGCAGGAGGAAAGGCAGCAGGAAAGGCAGCAGGAAAGGCAGGAGGAAAGGCAGCAGGAAAGGTAGGAGGAAAGGCAGCAGGAAAGGTAGGAGGAAAGGCAGCAGGAAAGGCAGGAGGAAAGGCAGCAGGAAAGGTAGGAGGAAAGGCAGCAGGAAAGGTAGGAGGAAAGGCAGCAGGAAAGGCATCAGGAAAGGTAGGAGGAAAGGCAGCAGGAAAGGTAGGAGGAAAGGCAGCAGGAAAGGTAGGAGGAAAGGCAGCAGGAAAGGCATCAGGAAAGGTAGGAGGAAAGGCAGCAGGAAAGGTAGGAGGAAAGGCAGTAGGAAAGGTAGGAGGAAAGGCAGCAGGAAAGGTAGGAGGAAAAGCAGCAGGAAAGGCAGCAGGAAAGGTAGGAGTCAGAATTTCCTGTACCTGCCAGAGTTTTGGCTTCTCCAAGCAGAGTCTTCATCAAACACCTCACTCATTTCATCCATTTCCTGGGCAGGTTGACTGAGCTCCTGGATATTCTCCGTCATCATAGGCGTAGACTTCACTTCCCGCACCCGGGCAGCGAAGGACAAAGGGTTGGAAGATAAACCAGCCTGGTGCTTGGGCTCTGAGTCTGTCTGCAGCCCATACATGGTATGCAGTCTCTCCCTTGTCCCCTGTCCTTCCTCCTGCTTCCCCTCCCCCTCCTCTTCCTCCTCCTCCTCCTCCTCCTCCTCCTCCTCCTCCTCTTCCTCCTCCTCCTCTTCCTCCTCTTCCTCCTCCTCTTCCTCCTCCTCCTCCTCCTCTCCCTCCTGTTTATGTTTTTGTCCTTGCTCCTGTTGTTGCTCCTGCCTTTGACCCTGCTTGTGGCCTGACACCCGCTCTGGGCCTCCCAGGGACATGGAGGCTTGCAGCAGCTCCTCCACATTGTTCTTGAGCAGTTCGGGCCAGGGCTGGAAGGCCTGCCGTTCTGTGGCTGCAGCAGGGTTTGGGAGGGACCAAGAAAGAGAAGGAAAGGAACAGTCAGCTTTCTGGCCTCTGAATGTTTTTGTTCAGCGAGACACACACATAAACACCAAGACAGAAGAAAGTAGCCTCAATCCAAATTATTCACACGGTCAGGTACAGATGACACAGAAAAGAATACAAATATCAAAATAACATTACCATGGCGATTGTGGCGTTGGTGGTATGCCACCTTTCCACCTCCCTACCAGTGCCCCTCTTAACTGCCACCTCAAATTCCACCTGTTGTTTCTCTCACTTAGGAACTAGCACATATTCTGAATAGTTGACAGCTAATCCTTTCTAGACTGAAGATGTTAGCTTACAAAAGTCCCGGGGATGTTTTAGGGAGCTAAGAAAAATGGAGTCGGGGCAGCCTTGGAAGTAATGCCAGAAGATATTCTGGGACAGGACAGCTCTAACTTGTATTCCTAAAAAGCAGATTCCCCATTATGTAAAGAGATGCCTGTGTCCATCACCCACCCTTGCTCAACATTCTTTCCGTATCCCTACCACCGAGTCTCCTCGGTTGGGAGGGTCTCACCTGTGTTGTGGGATGGCATGGGGGAGGTCATGGTGGAGGGCTGTGCTTCAGTAGAAGAGTCTGTCTCCTGGTCAGCGTTAGGTGAGAGAATGGGGACTGGCTGGGAGCATCGGACCCTCTGCAAGAAGAGAAGGGATGTGGGAATGCCTTTCCCAAAGGGATGCCTCACCCCAGCTTACTCCTCAGTCCCTCTCCCAGCTGCTTCGCTCACAGCTCCTGGGCAGGGACGAAGGCACAGGGTCCCTGGTGGAACCCTCTAGACCTGAGGAAGGGTTTCCCTGCAAGATAAAACTCCATGTCTTAGACACAACCCTGCCTTTGGTCTTTAATGTTTGATTTGAGTGACTCACTGACTGTTAGAAGAAATGGAAGGGCTTATCTTTTTGCCTCTTCCCTTCTTTTCTTAGTTAACAGGAGTGTTCTGACCGCCTGAATGCCCAAAGGGAGTCTGCATTCATACATAATCTGGGTAAATGATTGGCCAAGTGGCAGGGAAGAAAGCCCTACGGATGGCCCTCCTCAGCTCCTTACTGCCACTGCCCCTCCCTTTGTCCTGCGCCACCAGATCCATCTTTGTCCTGGGACTCACCTTGGCGTAGTAGACATGGTTGGAGCAACGGTACTGAGTAAACTGGCAGAAGGACTCGAACCAGGAGGCGTAAGGGAGGTCGGAGCACACAGCACCTGGGCAGGGGCAGGGGTGCAGACGGTGAACACACAAGGGGGACCTCCCTCCTGAGGGCGGTGGGCGCCTTGGGTCTGGAGAGTGGAGACTACTGGCCCAGGGCCAGAGGCCGGGCAGACCCGCCCGTCTCCAGCGAGCACAGATCTGCCCCAGGAGGCGGGCCCTCACCGTCGGGCACCAAGCCGTGGTTCTCATACTGGTCCAGCTGGACAAGGGTGGGGTTCCGGCAGCCGTGGGTGGCTCTCAGACGGCAGGTAGTCTCTGCCTTCCAGGTGGGGGTCAGCAGTGCGAAGAAGCGCTCATATTCGGCGGGAGAGAGGGGGCTCCCGGGCGTGGAGGTCGGAACTGAATCCTCGCCGCCGCCGCGGCTGCGGCCAGGGGCAGCTGAAGGCAAGAGCAGCACTGCGGGCGGGGAACAGGCGGATGGGCGGACGGACCCAACTCCAGAACCCGCTCCGGGCCCGGGATGGACCCACGCTGGCCAGCGGAGCCCCGTGTGGATTAGCATCGGGGTGTCTGGTCAGTGGGGATGCCAGGGACAGAGGCAAAGGAGAGCCCTGGGGAGACGGGGAGGAGATGGGGCAGAAGCGAGGGGGCGTCCACCGTGGGAAACGTTTCCGAATCAGTGAAGGAGGGTCCTCGGGAGGCGGACCCGGCCGGGGGGCGGGGAGGCGGGAGCGGGAACCTCTCACCCTTCAGGAGCGAGAGGAGGAAGCCAGCACCGAGCTTCCTCATGGCCCAGACGGTCCGCCCGCGTTCCCCGGACCAAAGCGGCCTCTAACGGGCCAAGCCAGAGAGCGCAGCGGCTGCGGCCAGCAGAGGGGAGCAGGGGGGCTGCTCTGACGTCACAGACGCCCGGGGGCGGGGCCTCCGAAACTGACCTGGGAGTCCTCGTGGGTCCATTCCAGTTCGGGAGGATAATGATTAAGGTACCACTGACGCTGTATCTTTTTTTTTTTTTTTTTTAAGCACAAAAAACAAACATTTATTAGGCATCTACTCATTACAGGTGCTGGGCACTTTTTTTAGGTGCCTGAGATACATCAGTGATAAAATGGTCCCTGTCCACAGGAGTGAATATAAATGTCTCCAGGAACAGCACTGAAGATTATTCCCCTTTATGCGCCTGTAGGTTTTATTTTCAGTTATTACAGTGCGTACCTCCAACACAGATTGCAATTGTTTACATGTCTGGGTTCCCTTCCTGGACTGCGGGCTTTGGGATGGCAGGGGTGTCATACCTTATTCTTCTGACACATGGCCGGCATTCAGTAAATGGCAGTAAAATGAACCAAGGAAACTGGACTGCCCAACAGGCTGTCGACGTCTAATGGGAGGAGATTGTGCTTATCTTGGTCTCAGAGGAAAATCGGTGTTTTTTTCCCAAATATCTTTTTAAAAAAATTTAATGAATTTATTGGGGTGACATTGGTTAATAAAATTAGATAGGTTGCAAGTATACAATTCTATAATATATCACCTGTATATTGTATTGTGTGTTCACTACCCCAAGTTAAGTCTCTTTTGTCACCATTTACCCACCCTTTACCTTCTGCGCCCCTTTTCCCTCTTGTATCACCATACTGTTGTCTGCTTTTCCCCCCTTAATCCCCTTGCCTGCCTTTTTCACTCAGCCCCCAACCCCCTTCCTTCTGACAGCTGTCAGTCTGAACTCTGTATCTATAAGTCTGTTTCAATTTTTTTGTTTATTTTGTTCATTAGATTCTACATATAAGTGAGATTATATGGTATTTGTCTTTCTCTGACTGGCTTATTTCACTTAGCAGAATACTCTCCAGGCCCATCCATGCTATCGAAAAAGGTAAGATTTCCTTTTTTTGTTGTTGTTAATCTTTACCAGAGGGTATTTTTTCCATTGCTTTTCAGAGAGAGTGAAAGGAGGGGGGAAAGGAAAGGGAGGGAGGGAGGAAAATATTGATGTGAGATACATCAATTGGTTGCCTCCCAAATGTGTAGAGACCAGGGGAGTGGGGAGTGAACTAGCAACCCAGGTACATGCCCTTGACCAAGAATTGAACCCAAGACCCTTGTGCGTGACCGATGCTCTAACCACTGAACATACCAGCCAGGGAAACATTTCCTTCTTTTTTTTACAGCCGAGTAGTATTCCATTGTGTAAATGTGCCACAGCTATTTTTCCACCCATCCATGGATGGTCACTTGGGCTGCTTCCAAATCTTAGCTATTGTAAATATTGCTGCAATGAACACAGGGGTGCATATATTCTTTTGAATTAGTGTTTCAGGTTCCTTCAGATATGTTCTCAGAAGTGGAATCACTGGGTCATAAGACAGTTCCATTTTATTTTTTGAGGAAATTCCCTACTGTATCTACAGTGGCAGCACCAATTGGCATTCCCACCAACAATGCACAAGGGTTCCATTTTCTCCACATCCTTGCCAACACTTTTTTGTTGATTTATTTTATTTTATATTTTATTGATTTTTTTACAGAGAGGAAGGGGGAGAGATAGTTAGAAATGTCGATGAGAAAGAAAAATCAATCAGCTGCCTCCTGCCCACCTACTGGGATGTGCCCACAACCAAGGTACATGCCCTTGACCAGAATTGAACCTGGGACCCTTCAGTCTGCAGGCCGACACTCTATCCATTGAGCCAAACCGGTTAGGGTGTTTGTTGATTTATTGATGACAGCCATTTGACAGGTGTGAGGTGTTACCTCCACTGTTTTTTATTTGCGTTTCTTGATGATTAGTGACATTGAACATCTTTTCGTATGTCCATTGGCCATCTTATGCCCCCTTATTGGTGACTATGTTCCCCATTCAGTGGGTTGTCTTTTTATTTTGTTGATGGCTTCCTTTGCTGTGCAAAACCTTTTTAGTTTGATGTGGTCCCATTTGTTTTTTTCTTTTGTTTCCTTTGCCCAAGGAGATACATCAGAAACAATATTGCTATGTGAAATGTCTGAAATTTTACTGTATCCCCTAGTTGGGACTGAGCCCACAACCTGTGCATGTACCCTGAGCTGGAATTGAACCAGTGACCACCTGGTATATGGGACCACACTCAACGGAGCCACACTGGCCAGGCTCAACTGTTACTATTTTATTTTTTTTTATTGCTTTTAGAGGAAGGGAGAGGGAGAGATAGAAACATCAATGATGAGAGAGAATTATTGACTGGCTGCCTCCTGCACACCCCCTACTGGGGATTGAGCCTGCAATCCAGGCATGTGCCCTTGACCGGAATCAAACCTAGGACCCTTCAGTCCACAGGCTGACGCTCTATCCACTGAGCCAAACTGGCTAGGGCACTGTTACTATTTTTTAAAGTGACATGCTGTTTTGATTACTATGGCTTTGTAGTATACTTTGATATCAGGTAGTGTGATTCCTCCAACTTTGTTCTTCTTTCTCAAGATTGCTGTTGCTATTTGGGTTCTTTTGTGGTTTCCTATTAAGTTTGTTTTAGTTCTGCAATATACACCATTGGTATCTTAATAGAAATTGTGTTGACCTATAGATTGCTTTGGGTAGCCTAGATGTTTTAGTGATGTTCTAGTCATGAACATGGTATATGCTTCCACTTATCTTTATCTTCTTCAATTTTCCAAGTATAGGTCTTTTACACCCTTGGTTAAGTTTACTCCTAGGTATTTCGGTGTTGTTGTTTTTTAATGTAATTATTAATGGGATTATTTTCTTACTGATAGTTCATTATTGGGGTATAAAAATGCAACCAATTTCTGGATAGTTATTTTGTACTCTGCTACTTTACTGAATTCACTTATCAGTTCTAGTAGTGTTTTGATGGAATCTTTATGGTTCTCTATACACAGTATCATGTCATCTGTAAATAATAAGTTTTACTTCTACCTTTCCAATTTGGATGCCTTTCCCCCCTTCTTTTGTGATTTTGTTCCCTCTCCCCTTTTAATCTTTATTGTTGAAAGTCTCACATAGGTCCTCCTTTTCTCCCTATTAACCTCTTCCGGCCGCTCCTGCCTTCTCTTGTCTGATCACTGTAGCCAGGACTTCCAATATTATGTTGAATGAGATTGGTGAAAGCCAACATCCCTGTCTTGCTCCTGATCTTAGTTTTTGCCCATTGAGTATGATGTTGGCTCTGGGTTTGTCATATATGGCCTTATTATGTTGAGGTGTGTTTCCTCTATTCCTACTTTGTCAAGAGTTTATATCATAAATGGGTGCAGCCATTATGGAAAACAGTATGGAGTTTCCCCAAAAAATTAAATATGAAGCTGCCATTTGACCCAATGATCCCACTTCTAGGAATATATCCTAAGAGACCCGAAACACTAATCAGAAAGAATGTATGCACCTCTATGTTCATAGCAGTGCAATTTACAATAGCTAAGATCTGGAAACAGCCCAAGTGCCCATCAGTAGGTGAGTGGATAAAAAAACTATGGTACATTTACAAAATGGAATACTATGCAGCAGTAAAAAAGGAGCACTTACCCTTTGAGACAGCATGGAGGGACCTGGAGAGTATTATGTTAAGCAAAGTAAGCCAGTCAGAGAAAGACAAGTATCACATGATCTCACTTACATGTGGAATCTAATGAACAAAATAGATCCAGAGACATAGAAGCAGGGAACAGACTGGAATCTCAGAGAGAAGGTGGGTGGGAAGAGATCAACCAAAGAACTTGTATGCACATATCCATAACTGATGGACACCGACAATAGGGTGGTGAAGTCCTGGGGAAGGGGTGGAGGCAGGTTAGAAGAGGTTATTGGGGGGGGAAAGGGGACATATGTGATACTTTCAACAATGATTTTTAAAAAAATGTGTGCTGGATTTTATCAAATGCTTTTTCTGCATCTAATATGATCGTGTAATTATTATCCTTCATTTTGTTTATGTGATATATCATGTTTATTGACTTACAGGTAATTGTATGAGCCTGTATCCCTGGACTAAATTCTACTTGATCACGGTGTATGATCTTTTTTAATGTATTGCTGGATCTGGTTTGCTAATATTTTGTTGAGAATTTTAGCATTTATGTTAATCAGGGATATTGGCCTATAATTTTTTCTTTGTAGTGTCTTTATCTGGTTTTGGAATTAGGATAATGTTGGCCTCATAAAATGAGCTTGGGAGTCTTCCATCCTCTTGAGTTTTTTGAATTAGTTTGAGAATTATAGGTCTTAGTTCTCCTTTGAATTTTGATAAAATTCACCTGTGAAGCCATCCGGTCCAGGACTTTCATTTGTTGGGAGTTTTTTTTATTACCTTTGATGGAATAGGCCCTGTGTTGTCTTTTTAAAAATGTATTTTTATTGACTTCAGAGAAGGGAGAGGGAGAGACAGAAACATCAATAATGAGACAGAATCATTAATTGGCTGCCTCCTACATGTGCCCCATTGGGGATCCAGCTCATAACTTGGGCATGTGCCCTGACTGGGAATTGAACTGTGACTCCTAGTTCATAGGTCAATGCTCAACCACTGAGCCATGTCACCCAGGCTACCTAGGATAGGAAAAAGGGGACATATGTGATACTTAAGTGCATCACCTTATTTCTTTTTCAAGGTAATCCCATACTGGATACTATTATTATCCCTATTTTACAGATGCAGAAACCTGCTTTGAGAAACAAATTGCCCAACTAGGTAGTGAGGTCTAAATGTGAGTATAGGCAGGGTTCTGAGGTGGCAGACATGGAATATACAAAACAGTCAGGGCCTACTGGGATAGGAACCAGAGAGGAATTCTCCAGGTAAGAAATGAGCCAACAGGAGAAACAAAGAGTAAGGTTCAGATGTGGGGGAGCTCAGTATAGAGAAGTGGTTTCCCTGGTCTGAGGCAGACCCCCCCAGCCAGTCAGCTTTGTCCTTTCCAAATTGGGAAGTTGTGGATTCTGGTTCCCTGTTTTGTCTTGATTTTAGCATGTCATTCTCCCACCTCTTATCCAACCCAGAAATTCAAAAGTAAAAAAAAAAAAAAAAATGCTTGGCATATATACTAAAATGGTATCTTTATAAAAAACACAGCAGGCCAATGGGTATAGCTTTTATTCACCTACCCAAGTTCCTTTACATGTGGCTTATTTGCATTCCACCTTGCCCCCTCTCCCATTCACAAGGCTAGGACAAAGCCTCTTGGCACAGAGGAAGGGGTGGCCCTTCAACTAGGGCTACAGCCCAGATAAGCTGGGGAAGCCGCCAGCATGGAAAAAGGAAGATAACAATGAAAGTTTATTATACCATAGCCCCTCACAGGGTGGAGGGAATCAGGAGGGTTGGGGGAGTGCCCCCATGCTATTGCCCCAGTCCTTAAATACAAAGCCAGGGGAGTAAAGAGGACCATCCCTTGGAAATACAGCACCTACCTCAGCATGGAGGCAAAGGACAGTGGGCAAGACCACTTCCTTCTGAAGGGGGGTGGGGCTGAATGAGAGCATATACCCTTAGTGGCTATGAAATTCCTCTCTACCAGGATTTGAATGCAGCCTCAGCACCAGTAGTGGGGACAGGGGAGGAGAAAGGATGACAACACTGCACCATTCACTTCTCCCTGAACCCTCTGGCCCAGCACAGGCATTCCTCTCCCCACTAGCCCAGGTCAGGGGATGTGGAAGAAACTATGTCAGAATTCAAAGCCCTTATCTATTTCTTCTTCCGTTCTTGGGAACAGCGTGGGCAAAACCTAAAGAAATAAATAGAACATGACAGAGAAGGGGAAGGAGAAAGTGAGTGAAAGAGAGAATGCCCTCCGCCGTTCAGCATAGGGGCAGTCCAGCTCCTACCACAACTCTCTCACTCACCATTTCCCCCGAGGCTTGGTTGTCAGACCCACACAGGCAAAGTGGAACCACTCGATGGAACACTAGAAAAGATGGAAGAAGCAGAAGTCAAGGCAGGGTGGGACAGAGGAAAAAAAGAAGCCCCCCCTTCATAAATTCCTTAGGAGTATTCCCCTATCCCATTCCTTTGGAGAATTCTTAGAGGTCCCAAGGCCAAAAACTCCAACCACCTTCTTCCTATCCTGATGTCCCACTATTCAACCTCTTGTTTCTACCTCATGTCCCCAGAACCCGCCATCCTGAGGCAAAATGGTTCTCACATCAGGATTGTCACAGCCAATCATCTCTCCATAGGAGACCTGGTGACAAAGGCAATAGGTGGGTTCGTTGGGATCCACAGGCATATCCAGCACATCAGAGGGGTGGACACTGCCAAAGGTCACTGAGGGCATCCCATACTCAGGACTTCTGTACACCAAGAGGAAAAGAAAGTGTCATCTGCAGGAAGGGAAGCTACTACTTGAGACTCAGAGGTGGTGAAGGAGATCCTGGTGGGGCAAGTGATTTGGTGCTGCTTCTCTCTGTCCAGCAGATAACAAAATGGTAAGGAGAAGAAAGGAGGAGTCTAGGACCCTGAGGAATAGATGGGAGGTCTATAGGGAGCCATGAAGAGGACAGAGAAAGTGGCAAGGGGCAGTGCAGGGTGGGAGTAGGGTTATGGGAGAGAAGAGGATGTCATCTGGCTCCCTGATACACTCACGTGCGTACAAGTTTTAACTTCTTCTGGGCAGCCTTGGGGGCTTCTTCATCTGAGTTCTTCCCTTTAGAACGAGCACGGGCAGCTTTCTTCTCCTTTTGAGTTCGGCCTTCTAGGGAAGAGGAGAAAGGCAAAAGGCAGGGAGACAGAAAGACAGGTTAAGTCCCCCTTCTTCCTTCTCTTTCCAACCTGGTGCCCCTCCCTCATAGCTGAAGAGCTGGCTTCTTCTCCCTCTGAATCCTCGACCCGCTTCTGAGAGCCCACCCCCCTCCTCACTCTTTTTGCCTTTGCTGGAAGAGCTGTCATAGTCACTTGACTCAATCTGCTTCTCCTTCAAATCAGCCTCAAAACGAGCCAGGTCTGTGTCCAGTCGCCGAATGTGTTTGTCCACCTGGGAGGAAAGGAAGAAGATAGAGGTACAAGGCTGGTGCCAGTGAAAGATAACAGGCTAAGGCAGATTTTATGAATCTCCCAGACCCAACACAGATCCCAACACAGATGAAGGAGGGGTCTAGGACCCTGAGGAATAGATGGGAGATATGTGGGGAGTCATGAACAGGGCCATACCATCTCATAGGTCTGCATGGCAAGCTGCACCTTGTCGTCACCAAATTCCTTGCACTTGCCATAGGCTTCCTGGATTTGTTTGAGAAGGGCCAATTTTTCTTCGGAGCTCAGGTTGCGGGCGCTACTCATATATTCAGTGGCCAACTTGTCAATTTCAGCCTTCAGGTCTACAACAGAGAGAGGCCTGGTCACAATGGCCCCTGAGTAGCTAGGTGATACACACTTCTTCCTCTTCTTCCTTGGACCTTTTCCATTGACCATAACCTTTGAACTAAAACGTACTGAGTGTTCATAGATACTGTGCCATGTACTCAAGTAATACAAATCGACAACATTTGTCTCAAAGGTGCCTTCAGGTGCTGCAAACATTGCTATCAGAGTTGGAACTTAAATTATTGAAACATAATGAGGGACCCTTTGCATACTGCACTAATACAAATTATGTTTTTGTTGCTGTCTGAAGATGTTTCTTTGCAAGACTTGTTGCTGCTTCTTGAATGAATTTTTGTCTTAAAAGCCAAAATTTTAAGGTTTTTGGTCGCAAAAATATGCCACAACAGCTCTGAGTGCTGTAAACAAGGTTGGGTCATCTGTTGCTGCTGGCTTCCAGGTCTGTACATTTATAGCTCATCATTTAAAATGAGACATAACAATTCTTCTACTTACTGTCCACCCTTTTTCTCTCAGCATTTGCAACTTGCTAATAGTTCTCATCACTTTTTTTCTGTTTGTTATCTTACATATATTGCTCCAAACATTTACATTTTAGTATTGGAAGGCTGGTGATGTCCCAAGACACAGACTATAGGTATCTACTGCCCGATATTTGGTAGGGCTCATAAAAAAAATGTCGACAAAAAAGAGACAGAAGCATGACTGTAACAGCACAGCAACAGAGAGCAGGAAGGACTGCGCACGCACTATGCTTATGCCCCACTTCTTCGGGACCCTTGGAGGAAGCTGAAAAAGCATGTAGTCTGATAATCTCCAAGTGGCCTTTCTGTGGCAGAGAAAGAGTTGGAACTGTATTACAAAGAGAGCAAGCTGGTTCTCAGAATTCAGCAGGCAGTTCTTAAGGACCTATATCCAGATATCAGATGATGTTCACCTTTTCGTGAGTAAACTTACCCAGAGTAACTTAAGTTACCTAAAACTGTATTATCAGCTTGTTACATTCTTGAGCATGGTTTCATAAGAATGGAAGATAAGACCTATATATCCTTCAGCAGGTGTGGGGGATGGATCCAACAGACACCTTTGACTTTGAAGAGACCAACCTGACTACTGCAGTGTAGCCTCAGGCTCCCAGTGAATGCCTCAATGCAGCCAAACTTGTTCAACTTCCAAGGAAGGCCACAGATGGTATCTAGTGCTTCTGTAAGGTTGAAGAATACAGTGTAGAGATCCTGACGTTAATTGCTGCTTTTCCTTCTTTTTTCCTTTCTTTCTCTTTAAGAGCTTCTGACGCAGCAAAGCTCCTGTCTACCAACGTGAGTTGCTGTCTAAAGCCACGCTGCATTTTGTGACAGTAACGTTAACACTGGAGTAGAAAGAGTCTCGCCTTCCTATAAATATATTAAACATGGAGAACAGACATGATTCTAGAGTGGGCTTTTAGTTTGCTGAATTCTTCTTGAGGAAGCTATAAAGAACATAGCATCTCTGAATTCTTGAGGCATTGTTGCAATATTCCATTTGTTATGGAAAGGCTGATATAGAAATGCAGATCATCATTACTCTCATCTTAAGAAATGCAAGAGAGTAAAAAAGAGAGAAGCCAGAGTTCTTCAGATCAGACCAGATGATAGGGTAACACAGAACAGAAAGAGAAATGACCACATACACTCAATCAATATTCACATGGACTCCTTACTCTGTACGTACCCTCTGTTCTTTGGTCCAGGTCTCTCATGAGCTGAAAGTTTCTCTGGAGCTCAAAGGGGAGGTTTTCAATACCTAGGAAGAAGAGGAGTAACTGAGACTCGCTGGACTTCATAGGCCTTATAGCTGTTTTTAAAGTATACAACAGTACTCAAATTTCCCTCCTTTGAATCACTGGATGTATCTGGGACAGCATTCATCACTTCTTCCTCAGAAGGGGCTGTGTCTGCCTCTCTCTACAACTAACCTCTCCCTCTCACACAGCTGTCCAACCCTTTCCCCCCCTTTAGTGACGTACTCTACAAATTAGCTCTTCCCTTTCTCTTATTTCCAATTTCTGCCTCCAAGCTCCTTGCTCTCAACTTACAAATATCCTCCTGGTATCCTCCACTACTCATCACATACTCCCAATCTGTTCTCCATATAATAGCCAGACTGTTCTTTTAAAAAAATGCAAATCTGCCGAAGCCGGTTTGGCTCAGTGGATAGAGCGTCGGCCTGCGGACTGAAGGGTCCCGGGTTCGATTCCGGTCAAGGGCATGTACCTGGGTTGCGGGCATATCCCCGGTGGGAGATGTGCAGGAGGCAGCTGATCGATGTTTCTCTCTCATCGATGTTTCTAACTATCTCTCTCCCTTCCTCTCTGTAAAAAATCAATAAAATATATTTTTTTTAAAAAATGCAAATCTGATCAAGTCACTTACCCTACAGTAACTTCCTATGGCACTATTCCTAGTCCTGTTCTGCACTTTCTGGCCCTTGCTTACCTCACACCAGCCTTAATTCATGTCAGTCCTCCTCTGTGCTCCCTGCTCTGGTCATACTGGCCTTCTCTGCCTGCCTGGAACTTGCCAGCAAGCTTCTTGCCACTTGGCTTCCTACATGCTGCTCTCTGTGCCTGGAATGTGCCACCTGGTCTTTTTCATTCCACCTCCACCATGCCTCTCGGCCTGCTAAATTCCTGTTTATTCTTCAACATTCAGCTCAACTCTGACTCTCCCATACTCAAATAAGTGCCTGAATTTTGCTGCCAAGTTATTCTATCTCCACTATTCCTTGCACTTATCCAACTATCATTAAATAATTGCATAATTAGTTACAGTGTTTTTTGATATCTGTCTCCTCAGCCTTCCAGAAGGGCTGGACATGCCTGCCTTCTCCTTATTCTCTAGTGTTTAGAACTATGGTTTGCAAATGAGGGTCCTCAATAAATACTTGTAGAAATGCATGAATTCTTAAGTTTCTCCCATAAAAGAAAAATCTCTTTGCATGACTATACTTCAAATTTTAAAATGCCTCCACTGCTTTAACCTATAACCTCAGATCAGCTACCACCAGTTTACTGAGATTACTTTAAGTCACCAATGACTTATGAAAGCAAACGATGTTATCAGTCCTATCCTAAAATATGTGTCTGCAGCAGTTGGTACCATCTTCTCTGCTTTGAGTAACTTTCTTCCTCTTAGGATTCTGAATCTCTTATCATATACTTACTGGTAATTCCCACACTGCTGTTTCCATAGCCTGTCCCTTACATGTTAATGTTTTCTTGAGGTTACTCTCAAGCCCTCTCATTTTCTCCCTTTTTTTTTTTCTGAACGATCTTGAGCTCATTCATTCTCATGGATACAATGATCATTCCTATACTTAAGTCTAAATGGAATTAACCATATTGCTGTTACTCCTGAATTTCACATCTTGTTGATGACATACTACCTACTTCACTTCCCAAACAGGGACTTAAGAAGTCACCTTAGATCCTTCCTTCTCCCTTAACCATTTACTCATTCAGTCAGTCCCGTCATATTTAACTCCTAAATATTTCTGTCGCTCCCTGAGATAAGGTCCTCAGCTCTGAGCTGGACTGTTATTACTAACTGAGCTCCCTGTTACAAAGGCTATCATGCTCCGGTTGATCATATGTCAGTTGTTTTCCTTTATAAAAATCACTCCATTTAAAAAAATCTGTTGGTTCCCCACTAAAGTGCAAACTTCTTAACTTGGTTTTAAAAGACCTTGATAGCCCCGCCTCTTTCTTGGGTCTCACTTCCCATTCTTTCACCTTAGAGCAGCGGTTCTCAACCTGGGGGTCGAACGACCCTTTCACAGGGGTCACCTAAGACCATCGGAAAACACATATATAATTACATATTTTTTTGTGATTAATCACTATGCTTTAATCATGTTCAATTTGTAACAATGAAATTGGGGGTCACCTCATTAATACAGTAATGAGGAACTGTATTAAAGGGTCGCAGCATTAAGAAGATTGAGAACCACTGCCTCAGAGTCTTACATATCAAACACTTGACCCCACAAACCCATATAATACCTTTGCTGATGCTCTTCCCAACCTGCAGTTCCCTCTTTCCACACTGCAAAATACTCGACCTTCAAGACTCTACATCATTAGCTTCTCTTTCTCCAGTGTTACCAAGTGTCCTTTTCATGTATTTTTAGTATGTCACTTGCCACACTTTTATATTTATTAGCGGAATCTAATATCCTCCTGGTATCCTCCACTAGACGATGAGCACTTGAGGGTAAGGGCTGTCTTATTCATTTTTTTATATCCCCAGTACCTGCTACTCTGTCTGAACCATAGCAGACCCTCAATAAGTGAATGAATGAATGAATGAATGAATGGTTGAATGACTCCCAACACTAAGACAAATGTAAGCGCACGGGGTGACAGGCTTTGTGAAGGGGTGGGTCACATAAACGGTACAAACATAACCCAGATTTCCATTTGATGAGAACTGGATCTTTACTCCCAGAAGAGAAGCCTTCCAGTTCATCTGACAGTGTCACCTATAACCCCCACCCCCACCAGAAGCCACTCCTGAGAAAGAACTAAGCGGAGGAGCCGCGAGATCTTTGTCGCTGCTCCAAATGGCAGTGAGTGAAATGCTAAAACGACCAGATTTATAGTCTGCACAAAGGAAGAAAGATTCGGAATGATTTTGAGGAAAATATATACCCAGAGGTTGGAGACCCTGAAGACGGGGCCAGCAAATATTTTCTCTTCAAGCCACATCCCTCAGCCCCACCGCGTACCCCCTCCCTCACCTGACACCCAAAAGCCCGGGTTCGACCCTGCTGCCCCGCCCCCTCCTTCTTCACACCCTTCAATGTTCCTCTCCGGAAGCCCCTGCACAATGGTGACCTTCTGACCACCGGGACCTCGGGGCCTTAGATCTCCTCAGCCCGCCCCCGCCCCACCACGCTGTGACCCCTGACCCCCTCCTCCAGACTGCTCTTACTGTCCAGATAATGTTCCAAATACATCCCCGCAGCCATCTTGAAGCAAAACAAAGCAACTTCCGATCCACCCCGGAAGTGACTGAAACACGACAGGCGCCGCAGCTATTATTCTTGGGTTTGGGCCCTTCCGCCCTTAAGAGGAGAACTTCCGCCCTTAGTGAATTATCCGCCGGGACACAGCGGCCCGATGTCGACACTCGTCCTTCTGCGTAAGTATCCAGGGCCGCCCGCAGAGGCGCCCTGAAGCGGCTGGAGCCCGCTTCCGCCCTCACTGAGCCCCGATACGCGACCGACCGTGGCGGTCATGACGTCACCGGAGGTCGCCATTTTGCATCCTCCATCGAACTTTTTTCTCCCTCTACAACGGGAGTGTGCGGTCATGAGGTAAAACAAACAAAAACCACCCACAAAAACCTGTCTCTTGGATGATTTCTCATAAATGTCCCTTTTCAGCACCCGGGGATCATTCATCCCTTTTGCAAAACAGAAATCTGGTGACTAGAGCTGATCCCAGCTGAGTGGGAACTTTCTCTAAGGTTGCTAGTTTCTGAAGGAAGTTGGGGAGGCAAATCGAGTGTTATGAGATTAAAACATCGGCATTTGTGTTCACTCACACGAATACCAACTCCCCAGGATTTATTTTTTAACATGGGAAAAGTAGATTGTGTATCCACTTTGCTTATACCTACAAATAAATCTATAATCCTGACAATAAATCTGTAATTACCGACACTTCTCGTCAGGATTCTTGTCTATTTTACATTCAAATACGTTCTCACATAAAATGACCTTCCCCTCTTGCTTTTGTCTCCCTTTTTATTCGAGTTTATTGACGATGTAAACTAGCACCAGGATTCTGAAAAGATGGAACATGGAGCTGTGGCAACCGGGCCGATGAGACGCCAGCCATCACCCTACTCAGCTGCAGTACAATTAAAACTGTGCTTTTCGTCAGCATGGAAAGCGATCGAGTGCAGACGGGCTGGACCACACCAGTGAAACAGAACCCCAAACCCGTAACCTAACAGCGATGTCAGCAAGACAGTGTTTTGGACATCATTGTCACCCCTCTCACACATGCTTGATGATCATCCATGTTACATAGTAGGTTTTTAATGAAACAGGTTTCCAACCACATAATTTAGACCAAATATGTGAAGAAGTATTAGGTGAAACCCCATTCTCCACTGAGCACGTGGTAAGACATGGCAGTAGAACCCAGACTTCACGCTGAAGTGTCAGGCCCCTGGGCAAGTAATTTCAGCTCTGTGCCCGTTTCCTTTCTTATAAAATGAGAATAACAGTACCCACTTCATAAAGTTGTTGCTGAGTTGAGCATATCCTTTTTTAAAAAGTAGATTCTGGTTCTAATACCTGTGATGAAGGCAGGGCTATAGAGGTCTTTTCAACTGTTGGTGAGAGCTGGGGGGAGGGGGGGGGAGAGTTAGTACTCAGGAAGCTAACCAATATTGGCATATTTGGTCATGTGATATCCGTTATGTCACACCACAGATGGAGACTACCTTGGATACCCACACGAGGCTGAACCATAAATTAAGTGGGTAACATTTCGAGTATCTCACGCCATTGGGAAATGAGCACCGTTGCCAAGCAGTCCCATAGGATAGCCATGTTATCAGGTGTGGGAAGTTTGTCACTTTCAGGGCTTAAATGTTTTTTGGGGGTTTTTAAATCTGCACTCAAGGATATTTTTCCATTGATTTTTTTAGAGAGTGGAAGGGATGGGGAGAGCCAGAAACAGTGTGAGAGAGACACATCAATTGGTTGCCTACCACACTGCCCTGACTGGGGATGGAGCCTGCAACTGAGGTATGTGCCCTTTTTTGGAATTGAACCCGCGACCCTTCAGTCCGCAGGCCAACTTTATCTACTGAGCCAAACTGGCTAGGGCTTAAAGGTTTTTTGTTTAATTCTCAGAAAGAAATCTTGGAGATAGTCTAGTCCAATCCCTTCATTTAACAGCTGAAGATGCATCATGGCCAACACTGGTTGATAGGAGAGCCAGGGCTGATGTCCAGGTTTTCTGACCATCAGAAAACTGTCCTGCAATGTTATTCAATCCTGGTTATGGTTCCCACCACTGGAAACCTATGGTTTTAGGTGCCACAGTATAATGAAGATACATGTATATAGACGCATGCCAAACGGAATTAGCACTGAGCCCACTGATGCTCACGCAGGAGTACAGGTCCTTTCAAGAGGCCATGCTTGCTGTTCTTTGATAAGAAGCTTAGTGGTCTTAACACAACTGAAACCTTGCTGTCACATATTTAGGCAATGCAGTCCCCATAAGATTTGTATGTAGAAAATCTCATCAACCAAGATTTCACTTCAGATATATCAAAGCTGTTCCCTTCTGTGGCTGGGGATACAGTCTCATCACATAGCATTCGTTTTTCACATATAGAAACTCTAGTGTAAACACTTAGTACTGGCCTCCAACATCTCTCCAAATAGCTTTTCCCATGCTCGCTCACATTAGTAGCTCCACTGCCTCTGATCCTTTTACATGAATTTATTTCTATACAAGGTTCTAAAAACACCCCTTGGTTTGTACATAAGTTTTTTCTTCATTTTAAATTGCCTTATAACAACTGGTTTCCTGTCTTTTTTTTTTTTCTTCATTTTCTCTTTTCTCTGAAATCTGCCATGATTGGAAAAAGAAAAAGACAAAGGAAAATAAAAATGTCATTGGTCAGAAGACAGGGTAGGGGAAAAAGGGACAAAAATAAACAAAAGATCAAATATGAAAATTCTCAGCGATAATGCATTTATAAACACAGAAATGGTTACAACAAAAATGGCCGTGATGAGTGGGTATATATATACTTATATATATATATATATATATTTATATATAAATCCGTGTCCAGCAACTGACCGTGGCACCTAGAAAGCTAAGTCCAGTTCTTGTGTTTGCCCTGAACTTTCCCTTCTGTGCAACACTCCTTTGTTTTGGATTTCATAAAGCTCCCACAGCTCCTTAAGTTTGGGGATGGGGAGGCTGAGTATAGGGCATTGGTTGGCAGAGAAGGGGAGAGGCTCCAAGGAAGACCATATCCCACGTTTCTAAGCCACCCTCGACCATCTGGGGATCACCGGCCCCGTGGGGACCACATCTCGGCTCATGCCCTTTACAAGTAAAGGGAGTCTGACCCCCACCCAGATCTCCTTCCTCCAGCATCAGGTAGGAACTGAAGTGAGACCATGAGGGGAAATGGCTCCCAGGGTCAGGGCACATGAGAAACCTCTGTTCTTACACAGGCAAGATTGGAACAGGAGGCTGGTTGCATTTAGGGCTTTCTTCTCTCTGGTATCTGGGAGGGCCAGCCTCTAGTCTTCTATCAGCCTAAACTTTGAAGATTATGAGGGTAAGGAGAGAGTAAGTGCCCACAATGGAAACGTTTCTATGAGGTCATAGCAAATCCCCCCCTTGAGCACCAACTCCCAATTTTTAAAAGCTATGCTTAGGAGGGAGGCTGCTGGATTACACTACCAGCTCAGTATTCCTTTGCCAATCAGGAGGGCTGATAATCCTTTTGAAGAGGAGTTGAAAATAAGGATGGTATCCTGTGAAGGAAGGCTGTGCCTGAGGCCCAAGGAGATGGAGCCAAGGCCTGTCAAGGAAGAAGACGTTTCCCACCAAGAGGAGTTAGAGAAAGAAGAGGCCAGAACTTCTTCTCCCTTTTCCCAGTGGGGTGGCAGCATAGGTCTCTATGAGCTGGCCAGGTGCTCCACCTGGATGGTGCTGGTAGTGACAGTGAGGCAGATGTCCTTATGATGCTCCGCCGTCTTATAGGGGGTCAGGTCAAAAGAACATTGGGGTGGAGGGTTGGGGTTGCTGTCCCCACCACCCCCACCCTGGGGGGCTGCCCCCGGGGACTGGAAGTGTGGTGGCTGTGGTTGCTGCTGCTGCTGCTGTTGCGATGCCTGGGAAGCCTGGGCCTGAGCCTGGGCTTGGGCTTGGGCTTGAGCCTGGGCTTGAGCCTGGGCTTGGGCTTGGGCTTGGGCCTGGGCTTGGGCTTGGGCTTGAGCTTGAGCTTGAGCCTGGGCCTGGGCCTGGGCCACTGCTGCCGCTGCTGCTGCTGCCTGCACTTGTTGCTGGAGATCAGGAGGGTTGTGTTTGCGCATATGTTTCATAAGGTAAGTTTCCTGGGAGAGATGGTAAAAAAGAGTTGGGGGGGGTGGGGGGGGGAGAAGGAAAGAGGTTACTTATAACTAGCATCCTGGGCTCTTACTTTACTTAAAATAGAGGAGGACTTACACTCAGATATATTCTGAAACCATGGGCAAGTTCACCCCACGGGCCACTTTCAGGGCTCACTACTGGCTAAAAAGGCGGGGGGGGGGGGGGGGGAGTCCTTTAGACCAGTGGTTGCCAACTGGTGGTCCCCGGACCACTGGTGATCCGTGAGGTCCGAAAGGTTGGCAACTGATGCTTTAGAGTCACCATGGACATTCAATTGGCACAGGAAAAGGCTGTCATTTTCTCAAAGATCTTTGAATGGAATAACTTTAAAACCCTTTTCTGGAGTCTAACTGAAACATCTAACTGAAATCTTTCTCTTCCCAAATTCTCAAGTTGCTTTACTTTGCCTTATGTTCAAGTAAAATGAAGAATCATTGCTTAATGATCTCTATAGGCTTAAGAAATCAGGTGTCCCCTAAATTCTTCAGCTATGGGTCTGTTTAATTTTTGTTCTGTCTGATTCTGTAAGTTGGAGCTAGGGAAGCTGCAGATTCACTGCAACAGGT